ACATATACATATATATATATATATAGTCATATACATATATATATATATATATATATCTATTTATATAATATATATGTATATATTTAGTCTACGTATTTATTTCATGTAAGGGATGTGCCATCTATAGATGCAAATATATATATATATATATATTTATATATATATACAAATATATATATATATATATATGTTATATGATATATATGATATATATATTATTTATATTATAGATATGATATATATTATATATATTTATGCATATATATCTATATATTTAATATAATATGTAATATTATACTGCATGTAGTATATATCTGTAAAAAAAATATATGTATATATATATATATATATCACAATCCATATAGTATATAATATGTAAACTATATATATACATATAAATATATATATATATATATATATTATGCTGTATACATAAAAGATAATAGAGATATAAAACATAGTATGTACAAAATATACGATGTGCATTTATATTAATATTGTAATACAGAATATTAGCTATAAGTATTTGTGCATTTATTTATATTGTATATATAATAGATTGTATAGATATATAACAAAACATATATATATATATATATAGCTAAATATATGCATATATAAGTGGATGTATATATACATCTGTTTTTATACATATGTATACTGCATGCATGCTTATACATATCATATATAAATTGTATATATATTGTTTAATATAGAGATATAAAATATATATATATATTTATACATATATATATATTTATATACATGTCTACATATATATAAATGTATATTATGTAAATATGTGATGTGCATATTTATACACATATTTGTTATGATGAATATATATATATATATGTAGATATATACATATATATATATATATATATAACAATGTATATGTAGTATGCATATATATATATATATATATATAAATGCAATGCACATATTTAATAGTATGCAGATATAAGTATATTTGTATATTTTATATAATATATATATATATATATGTCTTATGTAATAGATATATGTTATATATATATATATTTGTATGATCTAATAATAATATATGTACATATATATTATATATATATATGCATATTATATTGTATGTATGCATATTATGTTTTATATATTTTGTGTAAGCACGTATACATTCACATATATCTATTGTGTAATAGATGCATATATATATAAATAAATATATATATATATAAATATAAATATATATATATATATATATACTTATATATTGCAGAAGTTATATTATATTTCTTTTTTGTATGCGTACACCTATATCTACTATATATCATATATATATATATATATTTGTATATATTATACTATAATATGTATTATATTATATTATATATTATTATATTACATTATATTATATTATAATTATATTATAATACCATTACTAATGTTACTATTACTACTGCTGCTTCTGCTTCTGCTTCTGCTGCTGCTGCTGCTGCTGCTGCTGTTGCTGTTGCATGCAGACGAAGATGTGCCCGTATTTGCAGCGAGGTTTATCTTGCGGTCGGGGGCTGCGCTGCCTCTTTGCTCATGATAAGAAAGACTTGCGGCCTCTGCCGGACTTAAGACAGACGAAACTTTGTCCTGAAAAGAAGTTAAAAGGAAGCTGCAGCGACCCCTCTTGTTCTTATGCGCATGCAATTGAAGAACTTAAACATACACTACCGCTTTATAAAACGTCAGCCCTTTTCTATCATATGCATCTGCATGCAAATGCTGCTACTCATATCCATCACCCTCCTGCTGCTGCTGCTGCTGCTGAAACTGCTGCTCAGATGGTTGCTGCTGCTAATCAGATCGCTCCTGCTGTTGTTGTTGCTGCTGCTGCTGAAACTGCTGCTGCTGCTGCTGGGACCGCTGCTGTTGCTGCTGAGAATGCTGCTGCTGCTGAGAAGGCTGCTGCTGCTGAGAAGGCTGCTGACAAGGCTGCTGCTGCTGCTGCTGAGACGCCTGCTGCTGCTGTTGCTTTGTGTTGTTGCCTTGCTGCTGCTGAGAAGGCTGCTGCTGCAACGAGGACCGACGGAAGAGGGTGCTGCTGCTGCTGATGGCGATGCTGCTGCTGCTGTTGCTGGTGATGCTGCAGCTGATGCTGCTGCTTCCGATGCACTTCCTGCTGCTGCTGCAAATGTTGTTATTAGTGCTGCTGCTGCTGTTTTATACTTCTGCTGCTTTATCCTGTTGCTGCTACTGCTGCTGCTTTATCGTTTCGCTGCTTTATCCTGTTGCTGCTGCTGCTGCCGCTTCATGCTTCTTCTGCATCTGCCGCTGCTGCTGCTGCTGCTGCTGCTGTGCTGCAGCAACTTGTGTCATGGCTACAAGAAGGGGCGTTGCACTGCAGGCGAAGGCTGCAGGCATGCGCACGGAATAGAGGAGCTGCGGCAGCACAGAAACTTTAGAAGGAAGAAGCGGGGACCAGCAGAAGCTGCTGCTGCTGCTGCTGCTGCTGCTGCTCCTGCTGCTGCTGCTACGAATGCTGCTGCAAATGCAGCAGCGGTTGCCGGGAACGGCTCAACAGCAGCGACAACAGAGTCCTGCAGTGCGGCGGTAGCAGCACGCCCGCAGTTTGCTGCTGCGGCTGCTGCTGCTGCTGCTGCTGCTGCTGCTGCTGCTGGGCGGGGAGAGGCTCTTCGTTTGGGGAATGATAAGAATTCAAATTCATCTGCAGCAGCAAACTGCACCTTTTTCTATGCTGCGAGTAGGGGTCCTGCTGCAGCAGCTGCTGCGGAGCAGCGCCTGCCGCAGCAGCAGCAGCAACAGCAGCACGAGCAGCAGCAGCAGCAGCAGCAGCAGCAGCAGGGTTTACTCGAGGTGCCTGAGTATGGGGAGAGCGTCGAGCTGCTGAGGCGGCTGTCGCTGCCATACGCCTCTCTGTCTCTGCTGCCTCCGAAGCAACTGTCTCTCTCAAAGCCAGCAGCAGCAGCAGCAGCAGCAGATGTTTTCTCTAACTCAGTAGCAACACGCATGCAGCAGCAGCAGCAGCAGCAGCAGCAGCCAGCAATCCCCTTAGGGGGCCTCAAAACAATCCGACAGAAGCCAGCCCCGCAAAAGGCGCAGAGTGCGCAGTTGCAGCAGCAGCTGCAGCAACAGCTGCAGCAGCAGATGCAGCAGCAGCTGCAGCAGCAAATGCAGCAGCAAATGCAGCAGCAGCTGCAGCAACGCCTGCAGCAACAGATGCAGCACCAGCAAGCCGCCGAATGGGCAGGTGATGCCTTCAGGGCATACGCCCTGCAGCAGCAACAACAGCAGCAACAGCAGCAGCAACTGCAGCAGCAATTGCAATGCCAACTGCAGCAACAGCTGCAGCTTCAGCAGCAGCAGCAGCTCCTGCAGCAGCCGTTGCAGCAACACAGGCAGCAGCAGGAGGAAGACGAGGAGCAGCAGCAGCACGATCAGCACTTAGTAAACTGGACCAGCGACCTGTTGAAGGCACTGGAGCTTAAGGAAGTGCAGCAGCAGCAGCAGCAGGTGCAGGTGCAGCAGCAGCAGCAGCAGGTGCAGCAGCAGCAGCAGCAGCAACGGCAGCCGCAGCTGCCGAACTTGGAGGAGCTTTTTAAAAGCCAGGTGGCGCTGCAGCATTTGCTGCAGCTTTTCCTCTTGCAGCGCGAAGTATCCACGCCTACGGCAAGCCCCACAGCAGCTGGCAGCAGCAGCAGCAGCAGCAGTAGCAGCAGCAACAGCAGCAACAGCAGCAACAGCAGCAACAGCAGCAACAGCAGCAATAGCAGCAACAGCAGCAACAGCAGCAATAGCAGCAACTGCAGCAACAACAGTAGCACGGTCTGCAGCAGCAACAAGGCTTGCAGCAGCAGCAGCGACTGCCAAGCCGTATTTCCCCCCGTCTTCTCCCCTAAAGCCGCAGCAGCAAATCCACACTCGTCTCTGCTTCTTGCCCTGCAGCAGCAGCAGCAGCAGCAGCAGCAGGGGTCGGAGATGTTTTGCCTAAAGGGGGGGTCTGTTGAAGCGGTCATCGACAAGTGTTTGCCTCCACTTCCGTTATCTCCTTTGCTGCTGCCTGCTTCCGAACCTCAGCAGCAGCAGCAGCAGCAGCAGCAGCAGCAGCAGCTGCAGCTGCAGCAGCAGCAAAGCAAATGTCCCCTGGACAGTTTGCGCCTGCAGCTTCCAGACGCCCCGCAGCAAAATCTGTGGGGGAATTCAAATGTAGCGGCCTTTGACAATGCCTTACAGCTGCAGCAGCAGCAGCAGCAGCAGCTGCAGCAGCTGCAGCAGCAAGATCCTCTGCAGCGGGTACAGCAAATACTCAGCCTGCCGCAGCACGAGCTGCAGCACCGAGAACTGCCGCTGCATCAACTGCAGCTGCAGCAGCAGCAACAACAGCAGCAGCAGCAGCAGCAGGTCATTGCACCTGCAGCAGGACACACGAAGGAAGCACCGCAGCAGCCGAAGCAGCAACAGCAGCAGCAGCTGCAGCAGGGAACATCAGATAATCTTGCTCCTAGCCATTCATTTGAGAACAGTGCAGCTGCTGCTGCAGCAGCAGCGGCTGCTGCTGCTGCAGTTGCTGCTCCGATAGAGCATCAGCAGCAGCAACTACTATTGCGGGGCGCAGCAGCAGCCCCTTTTGAGCAGCTTCAGCAGCAGCAGCAGCAGCAGCAGCAACAGCAGCAGCAGCAGCAGCAGCAGCAAGTGCTGCACATAGCTTCGCCTCGGTCGCAGCAGTCGTGCTCCTCTCCTTCTTCCCCGCCGCAGCAGCTGCTGCTGTAGATTCTGCTGTCTCCTTTGATTGAAGCCTTTGTTGGGGAGACGCCAGATGCCTGTCTCTCTGCTGCTGCTGCTGTTACTGCTGCTGCGGGACCTGCGCAGCCACTGCACCAAACCCAGCAGCAGCAGCAGCAGCAGCGCCAGCAGCAGCGCCAGCAGCGCAGCGGCAGCACCGCGACGCGCAGCAGCAGCAAGCGCAGCAGCTCCGCTTGCAGGGGCAGCACCCACACTGGGAAACTGCTGCAACAGCAGCAGCAGCAGCAGCAGAAGAGTCTGCTGATGCAGCAGTGCTGGTATGTGACAATAATAGCAGGGTTAGCTTTTGCTGTTGCGTATCCAGCAGCAGCAGGAGTTGCTGCAGCAACAGTAGCAGCTCCAGCAGCAGCAGGGATCTGCTGCAGCAGCAGCAAACCTCGGCAGGTGCTGCTGCCTCCTTTGCTGTTCTTGTGTATTGTTAGTCTCCTTTGGGAAGGAGACACAGCTACTGACCCCTCTGTCTTGCGCAGCAGCAGCAGCAGCATCAGCTGCAGCAGCAGCGGCAGCAGCAGCAGCAGGGGCCGTTCGCGGTGTCTGCTGCATGCCCCCTCTTTGTTTGGGGCTTTGATGAGGTTGTTATTTTGATTTTGTTATTAGAAACAAAAAACAAAGAAGCAGCAGCAGCAGGCATCTGCTGCTGCTGCTGCTGCTGCAGCCAAGCAGCAGGGAGAGAGACTGCCCTCCCCGTCTCCGGCAAAGACACACGAGACCGCAGCAACTGCAGGAGCAACTGCAGCAGCAGCAGCAGCAGCAGCAGCAGCAGCAGGTGCTGCTGGTGATTGGGGTCTCCTTCTCACCTGCACCGTTTGTATTGTGTATGCTTGCAGCGCACGAATTTCCGTTTGTTGCTGTGGCTGCAGCAGCAGCAGCAGCTGCAGCAGCAGCTGCAGCAGCAGCTGCAGCAGCAACAGTTGCAGCAGCAGCCGCAGCAGCTGCAGCAGCTGCTGCTGCTGCAGCAAATTTATTTGCATTTCGGTCTGACGTTAGAGCCCGCAAGGCTTACGTACAGATTCTGCTGTCTCTTTCTAGTGTCTCTCCATGCAGCTCTTATGCTGCAGCAGCAGCAGCAGCAGCAGCAGTAACAACAACAGCAGCAACATACACCTGTCAACATGTTTAAAAGGCACAGCAGCAGCAGCAGCAGCTGAAGTGCTTGCTGCTGCTGTGCTTGCTGCTGCTGCTGATGTTACAGCAGCAGCAGCAGGAGTTGCTGGTGTTCTCTTTGTTGCTGCAGCTGCTACCCAGCCAGCGCAGCAGCTGCTGCTGCAGCTGCTACCCAGCCAGCGCAGCAGCTGCTGCTGCACCTGCTGCTGCAGCTGCTGCAACAGCAGCAGCAAAAGAAGCAGCAAACAACATCGAAGGTGGAGACAGGTTTTGCTTCTGTCTCCTTTTCTTAGTATTTTACTTCGTTCAAACCGTCTTTTCTATTTGTTTGTTTAGGGCTTAGGGTTTAGGGTTTAGGGTTTAGGGTTTGCTTCCTTCTCTCCATCAGTTAGCTGCAACCACACGCTCCTGCTGCTGTTGCTGCTGCTGCTGCTGTTGCTGCTGCTGTCCCTGTTGCTGCTGCTGCTGCTGCTGCACTCGGCCCAGCAGCAAGAAGAGGCGCAGTGAATTTCGACGGCCTTCTCCTTCTGCCTGAAGACACACAACACAAATTCTGCTGCTGCTGCTGCTGCTGCTGCTGCTGTTCAAAAGGTTGTTGCCAATGCGGCTGTCTAAAAAAATAGCTGCTGCTGCTGCTGCTGCTGCTGCTGCTGTTGCTGCTGCTCGTAAGACTGCTGCTGATCTGATTGGGCTGATACGGGGCGCTAAGGACAACAGCAGCAACACAAGCAACAGCATGAACAGCAGCAGCAACACATTCAGCAACAGCAGCACAAACAGCAGCAGGAGCACGATCAGCAGCAGCAGCACGAGCAACAGCGGGACGAGCAGCAGCAACAGCGGGACGAGCAGCAGCAGCAGCAGGACGAGCAGCAGCAGCAATTACCTCTAATCCAGAGAAGAAGCACTTGCTTACAACTCTGTCTCCTTCAGCAGCAGATTGTCTCCTCGCTACCTCCGCAACAGAAATGCAGCGGTTTGCTGCATTCATTTCTGCTGCTAGACAAACTACACCCTCCTGTAGCAGCAGCAGCAGCAGCAGCAGCGACTTTAGAGCAGCAGCTACAGCTACATACGTGTACAGGCGCTGGTGAGGCAGCAGCAGCAGCATCACTTAGTGCTGGTGCTGCTGCTGCTTCTTGAATCTCTAAAGCTGCAGATGATGGATGGCTGTTGCTGCTGTTGCTGCTGCTGCACAGGCAGAAGAAGTCTCAACACAAGCAGCGGCAGAAGCAACAATAGCAGCAGCAGCAACAGCAGCAGCAGCAGCAGCAGCAGCAGTAGCAGCAGGCTGTCTTACTTGTCTCAGGGCGTTGATTGCTTTTTCTGCTGCTTTCCTCATGCGACCCCCAGAGCCTCTACGCACCCAAACATGAGGACACGCCAACGACTGCAGCAGTGCTTCCGCAGATCTGCTGCTGCTGCTGCTGCTGCTGCTGCTGCTGCCGTCGTCATTGCTGCTGCTGCTGCTGCTGCTGCTGTTGTTGTTACGGGTGCAGCCGGGGTTAGCTGAAGGAGGATCTCCTCCGGATGTATGGCCGTCTAAATCCATTACTGCTGCTGCTGCTGTTGCAGCTGCTGCTGCAGCAGCAGCAGCAGCAGCAGCAAGCTGAGCAGCTACAAGAGGCGCTTGTGGTGCTGCTTCTTTGTCTTCTTTTGCAGTTTGTTTGAGGTGGAGAGAAGTTAATGAATAAGAAGAGTAAATAAATAAAGAAGTTTTGTTTAGTTAAGTAAATAAAGGCGAAGAATAAACACAAAAAGTTAGCATTAAGCTGCTGCTCTGCTGCTGCATGCATCCATATATATACGCAACCGCCAGCAGCAGCCCCGCGGTGTGCACTGATAGAAATTAATAAATTAAAATATTTGTATTATTTAAACGCATTAAAAGAACGGTATTGACGCAGCAGCAAGCGCAGGAGCAGCAACTGCAGCAGCAACTACTGCAGCAGCAACTGCAGCAGCACGCCGTGCAATGGCTGCTGCTGCTGCTGCTGCTGCACACACCGCATGCAACAGAGCTGTTTTCTGCTGATGCGCCTCCCGAGGTAACAGAGGAGTCTGGAATGGCTCAACCCCCAGCAGCAGCAGCAGCAGCAGCAGCAGCAGCAGCAGCAGCAACAGCAGCAGCAACAGCAGCAGCAGCAGCAACAGCAGCAACAGCAGCAACGCTGGCTGCAGGGACCCTACGGGGCTCCTACGGGGGCCCCCTTCCCTGGGTGTGGGGTTGGGATGATGGAGACTTTGAGGGCTTGAACAGCATCTAAACGCTAAACCCTAAACCCTAAACCCTACTCGCCAAACCCTAAACCCTAAACCCTAAACCCTAAACCCTTGCAGCTGCTCTAGAAGGACTTGTTGATGGTTTTTGTGGAGCGTTGGGGGGCGCCTGTAAAGGGGCGGGGCCGTCCAGCAGCAACCCGACAGCAGCTGCTGCTGCCGCTGCTGCTGCTGTTGCTGCTGCTGCTGCTGCTGCTGCATGCAGAGACCAGTTGTCTCTCGCTTGCTTCTGAGAAGGGGAAGAGGGGCTTTAAGAGAGACGGTTGGTATATTAAAAAGCGAAGAGAGACACACAAGGGTCCTCCTCGTGCTGCTGGAGCCTTGCTGCTGCGCTGCAGTCGTCTGCAGCAGCAGCAGCAGCAGCAGCAGCAGCAGCAACAGCAGCAGCAGCAACGGAAAGTGCTGCTGCAGGAACATCGTTTGGGGGGTTCGAAAGAGACAAAATATGCAGCCTTCATTCGCTTAGGGGTTCCGCAGACCTTTGCTGTAAGTGCTGCTACATCAGGAGCAGCAGCAACAGCAGCAGCAGCAACAGCAGCTGGTTGGAAAGGCAGCAGCATGAGTTCTCCTGCTGCAGCACGAAGAAAATCAGCAGCAGCAACAGCAGCAGCAACAGCAGCAGCAGCAAAAGGTTGTTTGTCGCCTTTGCTTTTAAGAAGATCAGGAGACAGGCGTAGGTCTCATTTGTCTCTTTCTCTGCTTGCTGCCAGCAGCAACCTTGCCTCAGCAGCAGCAGCAGCAGCAGCAGCAGCAGCAAAAGCAGCAAAAGCAGCAGCAGCAGCTCCCGATAGCAAGAACAAGACCCAGAAGCCCCCTTCTGCTGCAGCAAAAAGCAAAGACGCCTCCAACGAAGCAGCAGCAGGAGGAGCAGCAGCAGCAGCAGCATCCCCCGCGCAACGAACAGCAGCAGCAACACCAGCAGCAGCAGCAACAGCAGCACCAGCAGCAGCATTTGGAACACGAAAATATCGACTAGTGCTGCTAATACGCGGGAGCCTGAGTGTTGTTGAGGCACAGACAATACTCAGAAAATACTATAACCAGCTCCTTAGGCTTAAGGGTGCTTCATTTATTTATTATTAATTTTATTTATTTGTTTATTTACTTGTTTATTTATTTGGTTGTTTATTTTGTTTAGTTATTTGTTTGTTTGTTTGTTTGTTTGTTTCTGTATTTATTTATCTATTTATATACATCTATGTGTATATATTTGTGTGTATATATGCATACGTATATTTATATAGATCCATCAATATATATATATATATATATATATATATATATATATATATATATATA